TAAGCATTTCAAGTTTTATTTCACTGCATGATTACTGAGTAATAATAATCAATAATCAGCTGATGAATCAAAGAATTCATCACTTTAATTGTTCATGTTTCTCAGCGGGTAGTTTCTGTTCACTAAATGTGCTCTTTCCTGTCCTGTCTTATCTTCTTCTGATACATATTTTAATACACTGAATGGAAATGTGTAATGAATGAAAAAATGTAACAAGAACTGCTCTTTATTTTTGATAAACTATTCCCCTAAATGTTTTTTGGTTAAAATTTCTCATAAGTTTAAACAAAAACCAAATTAACAAAAAAACATAATTTCCAAGATTTTACCAATGCTGACGATTTAAAATGAACATTTCATTATACTTCAACTCAACCACTGATATTTAAGTTACCAAAATGAAACTAGAAAAGGGAAATGATGAAGTAGGATGTTTGGCAGAAGAAATATCTAAGCAAAGTGCTGGTGGTGCATTTCTCTTGACAGTTTATAGAAAAATGTGAGAAGAGACAAAGATGGAATTTATAATTAAAGAGGAAGCTAACCATAAAGATTTGGAAGGTTCTTAACCTGGAAAAACTGTAACTGTGTTAAGGACAGAATACTAAGGGTACTGTTAAGCTATCATTTGATAATTTTAGCACGGGGAGAGGGAAGCAGATGCTATTTATTGAGACATGGAAGAATGGCCCCAATGTATTTTGCTACCACTCCCATCAAAGGCCCAGAGTGTCAAGGCTGGAGGACAGAACTATGTTGAAAGAGGGCCTTTGAATACACTCAACTTTTGGTGCCCTGTGCCACATCAAGTCTCTGTTCCTTTACCCTGAATTTGAGTGCAGTGCTCCTCTGTCACCCCAGCTATAGTTCAGGGAGACCCAGACTGAGCTCGGCTGCTTTTCTGAAATGTGTTGGCCATAAGCCTTGGTGGTGACTATTGGGTACCAACTCTAGGTATGCCGAGTATATAGTGTAAGTTATAGAGGCATGGTTAACCCACTGGAATTTCAAAGGATGCTTCAGAGGAGGCTCAGGGCCCTGCCTGTGAATGGGTCCCTAAAGAAGGCTCTTACTAGGGCAGTGCTTGGTGGAGCCATGTGAGCAGGACCACAACTAAGAGCCCCAAACGGTGATGTCATTGGAGCTGTGAGGGTGGGGCGACCCCAAGACCACAGAGCTGCAGAGCCTCCAATGTGCAGCTCCCATTTGTGGCAGCTGCTACACGGGCTGTGTCCATGGGGGCAGGATCCTCCTGAAGCCTTGGGAACAAAACTTCTCCCCTCCTCCAGGGTATACAGAAGGCAGGATATTGTTTTTAATCTATAAGATTTAAAGTTGTTTGCCTTGTTGGGTTTTGGACATACTTGAAACTTATTACCAGTTTCTTGTGTCTCTTTCTCCCATCTGAAATGGGAATCTCCATCCTATGCCTGTCCACTACTGTATTTTGCAAGCACATAATCTGTTCAGTTTCACAGGCTTAGAGGTGGAGAGAGATATTTGGTTTACATGATATTTAAATGAGACTCTGGACTGTAGGCTTTTGAGTTGATGCTTGAATAAGTTAAGGCTTTGGGAGTTGTGAAGATGGAAAGAACATATTTAACATATGAGAAGGAAATGGATCTGGGGATCCAGGCCAGAGTGGTTTGAATGTTTGTTTTCCTCTAAAATTCATGTTGAGACTCATTCAGTGTCCAAAGCAGTAGCATTAACAGGTAGACCTTTAGGAGGTGAATAGACCAGGAGGGCTTCTCCTTCAGTAATGGGATTATTGCCCCTTGTAAAAGAGGAATCTGCCCTTTTTGACCTTTGTGCCCTCCATCTTTTGCTGTGTGAGGACTCAGAATTTGTCTCATTCAGAGGATGCACTAACTAGGCACCATTGTGAAAGCAGAGAGCCCTTAGCAGACAGCAAGCACCTTGATCTTGGAATTGTGAAAAATAAGTTTCTGTTGTTTATAAATTACCCAATTGTTTTGTTATGGAAGCAAAAGTGGACCAAGGCAATTGCTAAAAATTAATGTCTAAAAGCAGTATGTTATTCTAATATTTGCTACCAGAGTTAGACTGTGGTAAACATTTTATAATCAGAAAAAAGATGAAGGCTTTGAATTAGAATATTTTGTGATTTTATCTGGTAATATAGGTTTTAATATCTCATGGAGCAACATGCAACTGGAAGAAAATGATTTTAAAATTTTAGTCATTTGTCAGATATCATAAGTAATTTGAGAAACCTGTAAGTAATTCTGTTTGCATTTTTAAAATTGTGATTATGGGACAACTTTCAAAATGATGTTAAGAGCTCCATGAACCTACTCCAATCAGATGAACACACTTGGTAAAAATTCCATAATAAAAATATTAAATCTCTGGAAATTGTCTTCTGGGTATACAATAAATGAAGTAATATTCAAAACAGTCTACCAAATCTCAGTAAGAGCAGCAAGTCTGTGGTATTTGGACCACTCTTTCCTTTCACTGCATCTTAGTTTAGTGTGACAGAAGCAGCTCTACTGTGATCTTGAAAAAATAAGTTGGTCTTTTTCTTCACATTATTATGTACAAAAATTAGCTGAATATATATATATATATATATATATATCTCAAAGAATGAAATGTAAGAACTAAAACTATAAAACTCTCAGAAGAAACCTTAGGTCATACAAAGCTTTCTTAGATATAACACCAAAAAAGAAAAAAAAAAGGCAACCAAAATAAAAAGTTCATGGACTTAAAATTTAGAAACTTTTTGTTTCATAGAATACTATAAAGAAAGTGAAAAGACAACCCACAGGGTGGGAGAAAATATTTTCAGATTTTATATATATATATATATACACACACATATATATATATATATATATAAAAGAACTTGTATCTAGAATACGTAGAGAACACTTAAAACTTAATAATATAAAGACAACTCTTTTACAAAATGGTCAAATGATTTGAATATTTTTCTAAGAAGATGTATCAAGACCAATACAGACATGGAAAAATGATGGTCATCCATAACTATTAGGGAAATATAAATCAAAACCAAGTGATGTATCACTTCATACCCACTAAGATGATTGCTTTTTTCTGATTAAAAAGTAATAACAAAGTTGACAAAAATCTGGGGAAATTGGAAATTTTATATGTTGCAGATAGGAATATAAAATGGTGCAGCTATTTTTGGAAACTAGCATTTCCTCAAAATGTTATAGATTGTCATCATATATTCCAGCTGTTCCAAGAGTTGTGAAAATAGATGTCTAGATGTATAAGAATGTTTACCTTGACATTACTTATCATAGACAAAAATAGAACCAACTCAAATGACCATACTTTGGTAAATGGGTAAGTAAAATATGATACATCCATACAATGGAATGTTATTTGTCTATGAAAAAACAATGAAATACCATTACATGCAACAGCATCAAAGAATCTTGAGAAGACAATAAGTGGAAGAAGTCATTAATGAAGATCACATATTGAATGATTTCATTTATATAAGATATCAAGAATAGGCAAATCCATAGAAACAAGAATGTCTTAGTGAGTGTAGAGTGGGGAGGTTAGAAGAAAATAATGAGTAATTGGTAATCAATGTGTATTTGTTTTTTGGATTGGTGAAATGATTTAAAATTGATCATAGTTGTGGTTGTACAACTCTGAATATACTAAACTTTTGCAAAAAATAATTGAACTATGTACCTAAAACAATGAATTATAGATGTATGAATTATATTTCAATGAAGTTTTAAAAAGTATGATTCTACTGTTCACAGTTATTATTTTTTTTATTGTTCACAGTTTTGAATTGTCAGTGACAAGTTTTCTTTGCAGCTAAGGACAAATCTTGGGAACATATTGAGAAAAACTAAATGGTCTATGTTTAAAGTTATTTTTTTCTTCAGTTTCTTGCTAGTATTCTCTTTCATTGATGCTATGAGACCTTTCCTTGAGAATAACAAGGTGGAAGAAGGGAAATTTTCAACAAACCTACTGCACTCTACCTTTGATGTGAATTCTGATCATTCCAACAGGGAGCCCAATGGCACTTTTTCTAATATTCCATGTGATAGTTTTCTATTATTTTAACAAATTATCACAAACCAAGTGGTCTCAGTTGATTTCCTGTTTATTATCTTGTTTTTCCATGGATTACAAGTTTGACACAGAGGTCTTTTGATTAGAATTAAGATGTTCATAGAGCTTCATCCCTTCTGGAGACTTGTCTTTTCCAGTTTCTTGAAACCATCTGTGTTTCTTGGCTCATGTCCTCCTTCCTCTATGTGTCATTAATTGAAAATGCATTTATTACACCTAATATACCAAACGTCATAGCTTAGCCAAACAGTACACTGTAAAGTACTGGCTGTTTACACTTTTGATCGTCCAGTTAATTGAGAGACTGCCTCTGTGCCAGGATTGATTGAGAATATCTACATCGTTGACCTGGGTCAAGATCAAAGTTTGAAGTATGGTTTCTACTGAATGCCTATACAGTGCTACCTTGGTTCATGAACTTAATTTGTTCCATGATTCTGGAAAAGATGGCCATGTTTGTGTTTGTGCGGGAAAGATGGCTGCAGTCCTGTTTGTCACCTGTTGTAGAGTTTGCAAACAAAAAATTTTGCTAAATGCTTTTGTTTGCGAACCAAACTGTTCGCAAACAAAGCATTCATGAACTGAGGCACCACTGTGTTGCCTCCACACCACTGTAAAGTTAAACTGTCACAAGTCAGGGACCATCTATATCCCCAAATGTATGACATACCAAGCTATGATTATGATGGTTGTCTAAAGTCTATGAAGTGGATGTTTTCCGTGAATTGCAGATGACATTTTGATAGTTATTATAAGTGGGTTTAATAATCTTTCCAAAAATAAGAGACACATTTTAACAAAACATGTGGTTAACTAGGACAGTGAAGATTTGTCATTAAATATACTCCTCAGAATATATGTCTTGAATACTCTGAATTGCTGTATTTTTACTGTAGAAATCACACTACAGAAAGACAGTCAGGAAGGAACTCCATCCCCAACTCAGAGTCAGCAGAGTTTGAAGCCTCAGGAGAATATATTAGGACCCATTCACCATCCTTTAGTTTTGAAAATTAACTTTGAGGAGGAAGAGGAAGAAGAAGAGGAGGAACAAAATGGTTAGTAAATATTTTCTGAGATTATTATGCACATTAAAAAACTTCACAATATTTTCTACATACTTAAATGTTAGAGGTTCATGATGTAATACATAGGGCATATTTTAATGAGAAAATTATTTTTATTGAATAAGTATAATTCATTATTTTCTAATTTGTTCCATGTCCACACATGCTTATGATCATTTGGATTGGAAAGTTAAATTTGTATGATGGTTGGGAGACAGATCTCCGATTTAAATAAGTACAAGTGCTCTCTTATTTATATTTCACAACTATCATAAGACACACTGATGTCCATATATGTTTATCTGTTTATTTACACATCTATTAATCATATATTTGTCATACATTTCACCATTGAGTTACAGAGGTTTGGAGAGTAATTTCTCATATACAATGCATGGTCATCCTCATTGTCCCAGGGAATCCTGTGCTACCTCAGTCTGTGAGCCTATGCCTCTAGATTATCACTTCAAGACACATAATATACAGATTTTTTAACTGATTCTAATTCTTAAAATGGTAGGAATTTAACAGTTTGTAAATGTCTTAATTTTTAAAAATTAAAAAGAACAATCTATTCACAAATACTCTATTTGGGACTTTTTTCTTTCTGATTTATACATTTTTAGATTATTTGGATTGGGGACAATTTAATTTTAAAAAAATATGTCCTATAGATACTTCTGATTTGTGGACAAAGACTCCTGAAGAGATTGAAGAAGAAAGAATAATAAAGGAGATGTGCTATAAATCTGGTAAGAACTTAAACATTTGCGAATTTTCTGATACTTGATGTGATAATATACACTAACCATTCTTTCCTTATGGGACCTTTAGGCGAATACTATAGATTTCATACTCCTGCAGATATCTCATCAAAAAGCACAGCTCCTGCAGTGGAAAAAAAGCTAGGAAAGCCTGTGGAAAATGACAGTGAATTGCAAGAAGGTAAGACATGAAAAGGCAATATTCCGAGTGTTCTATAAGAGACACTTGGTGTGACATGCTGTGAATTATTCAGTACAATGTGCCCTACAGAAGTATCAAAGGATAAATAATACACTTCATTTAAGAGAAAGAAGGAAGTGCTTCAAATTTCCTACGAAAATCTGCTATGTGTTCTTAGAGGAGCCAGGGAATGAATAGGTTTCATAAACACGTGGGGGCAGCATACACCCCATTCAATAATTCTGTATATAATTTGCTTTTACCATTTTATTTATTTAGTTATGAAATACATGTTTATGTGAAATAGGTAGAGATTTTTATTTCTAAACAGAAAAGATAATCTGGCCCAAAAGGGAGAAAGGGGGGATCACAGAGTAACAGTAGCAGAACAAAGGGGTATTTGCTGATTGAACAAGTGAGTGTGTCCTGTGTACCGGACAATTTCAGGGCAAGGCTGGTGGACAAATCCAAGGTCTCTCTCTCAAGGAGCATTTTCTTTGTCGAATCGGGTCTTGTTGATTTTGGTGAACATTTTACCTTCTAGGCAAGATTTTAAAAAGTACCAAATTCTGGATTAAAACCAGGAAGAAAAAGAAATCTGTGGGTGCCATTAGTGTATATAATTTTCTTGCTCTTAGGATGAGTTTTAAAACATACTTTGCAGTACTGGGAGAGAAATGTAACCTTCTTTGCTTCTGTGAGGATGCGGGAAGGAAGTGAGTGGGATGGAGGAGGAGGAAAGGGGGGTGGGGAGAGAGAGAGAGGAGAGAGGGGCGAGAAAGGCAAGAAAAAGAGAGGAGAGGGAAGAGAGAAGAGATAGCTTGGAAAATCTGAGGATCAGTAGGAGAAGAAGATAAAACACACAACAGAGCATCTAGACTGTCTCGCTAATTCTCATGTGGTAAGTTATTTGAACTTACAGTAGTAGGTGGCAGCAACAGGCCATCAGAAGGTTAGAACATTCTGAGCATCTTGGTGCGCGCTAACTTCAAAGGAAGAACAGACGGCAAGCTCACACTACTCAGACAAGCAAAAAGCAAAAGTTCGCAATGAACGGTAAAAGAATGAAAACTTCCAAAGCCAGTCATTTATATTTTGCTTTGTCTTAAGCTTTTAAAAGCTTCTTATTTGTAATTTCAGTTAATTCCTGACACCCTTCACCTAGGTCTCTCCCAAATGTTGGCATTTTACCATGTGAATTCTCACTCTCTCTAAATGTGCATGTTGCTATTATTATTTTCTGAACTGTTTGGGAGTATGAAAGTAAGTTACAAACATGATGCTCCTTTGATTTTCTATTTTTGTAGTATAAACATAAAAGTCAGGACATTATTCTGATAAAATTATTGTTTAAAGCTCCTACCTCATTTCACCAGTTGTGCCATTAATGTCCTCTATGGCAAAAAAAAATTTTTTTTCCTTGTGTAGATCCAATCCACTACTACACATTACATTAGTTTGACATGTGATCTTTTTCTGCTTTTGACAATTTATTTTACAAAAAGTTATTTAGCGATGTACAAGGAAAACTGGGAGAATAATTATCATAGTATAATTAGAATTTTGTAGTTCATAGTGACTAATATTTCTCACTTGATTGTTCATGGTAAATAGACAAAAACAAAAGTAATACTGCAAAATTCATTACATGAAAATAAACCATATTATATATACAAATAGTTTTAGACTATTTAATTTTTCAAGTTGCCTTTTGATTATAATTGAAAGATTAGTACACTTGCTTCATTATAATTATAAAAATTTGCTTAATGTATTTATATATTATCAGATTACTATGCAAACAATATTTATGTTAAATTTTAAGCTAGTTTTCATTATGAATTCTGTCATAAACTTATTTAAGCTTTTAATGGTTTCTAGGGTGACTTTTTATTTCTTTTCTTCCTCATTTCTAGGGGATGGACTTACAATTGCAACAAAAGTTAGCCCAGCCGAAAGGCAAGGCAAAACAAAAATATCATTGGATAGGAAACCAACGACTGACACTGCTGCTTTTGAAAATGGAAGTGAGTTAATTTATTATTGGGTGGTCCTGAATACATTAGCACCGTAACTAATTTTTGTATTATCAATTTTTGTCTAGTTCATGTGTAATGCTAGGGGATTATACATTGCAAAATCATATACATTCAGAGGCTGGTATTTTTAGCAAATGCTTTGTGAGAAATTGTGCTTGGCGTATAAGATATTTAGTTTCCTATATTTGTATAAGAAGTCTGTGTGTGTGTGTGTGTGTGTGTGTGCGTGTGTGTAGGCTCGACTCCAGGCTATAGTGAATTCACATATTAAGTATGTGTACTAATGCACTATCATAGAGCCATTAACAGGGAAGCATTTAATGAACTCTTTGAATAATCCTATGTTAAAACAACTATATTCACATATATGTATCATTTGTACACATTCCTATTGTGTATTATGGCTTAAATGTATTAAAGCTGCCTTTAGCATAGGCATTTTGGATAATCTGTTCTCCTACAGTAATTCTAAGTGTTTGTTTTGAAAAACATAAAAAAGACTTTTGTGAGAAGAGAAAAGGTATGACTGGCAGGAAGAAGGTGTGTGAGAAGCCAGAAGGAGTTTGAAAGCAATTACTCACAAGGACCTGAAGCACATTGCTGATGCTTCTGCAGTCCTTATTTCATTCTTTTTACCCATTTTCTTCTCTTTACCTTTTTCCCCTTGGTGCTAAAGTCTTTCCTCTCCTTATATCTGTAATAGTTTTAGACTAGCTGTCATTCTTTGGGTGCCTCAAAGCGAGAAGCTTTAGCTCTAAACAATGAGAACAAAACTGTGATCCAGTTTATGTGATTGATCAGCTGTAATTGTACATTTTGGTGAAATATCATTGGTGTTTTTGGTTGCTGATAATTTATTTTCAACCACTGATAAACTCATGCTTTCATATGAAAAATAAACTTTCTCTTATGTTATGACATCATTAGTATGATGGGACTTAGAAAATGTGAGACTATCATTGCACTTTCACTATTATAATATGGTGAGAGCAGCAGTGAACAGGCACACACACACACACACCCCATACATATACATATCCTCACATAAACTGAAATCTGAAATCATACGAATTGTTCACTCTGGTGGATTTTATTTTATTTTATTAAAGGGAAAACAAGGTTCAGAAGCATTCAGTGCCTCCTCTGAGACTGTTGCACTAACAGATGTCAAAGCTGAGAGTCAAACCCTTTGCAGCTGCTCCAGAGCTGGAGCTCTTGCTCTGTACCTGGCTGCCCTACTTTCCATACTCAGGTCATCTCTGCATGAAAATTGGGCCAAGAATGTTGAGCCCATCACCTTGTTGGATCTCAGCTTGTAATGTGTGGATCCTATACCTTAAACTTTTTTTTTTTTTTGGTACCAGGGATTGAACTCAGGACCTGGTGCTAGTGAGGTATGCAGCACCACTGAGCTAAATCCCCAGCCCACTATACATTAAGCTTTTTACCATGCTTCATATGTTTATGAAAAACCAAGAAACCACCATGGGTATTAATTTTGGGGTTTGAGGAACACTGTTTCTAGTTTATGAATATTATGAGTATTCTTGTACATGTTTCCTAAAGATGTATGCATTTATTTTCTTTGGAATAAGCTTGCTTTGTACCCTTGACAATACTTAGCATTTTCAGTCCTTTTAATTTTAGGCATTGTCATTGGTATCTCGCTGTAACTTTACTTTGTATTTCCCTGATACTAATGTTGAACATATTTTCATTAGCTTTTTGGCCATTATGACTTCTTCCTTTCTTAAACTGTGTTTTTATGTCTTGAGTGCACTTAAAAATTATCTTTTTCTTACTGATTCTTCCAATCTGCTATCCTGCCGACTAATCCTCTGGTTCTGCCTTTAACTGCATGTATTAAATTCTTAATTTCTATTAAACCTTTTTGTGTATTTCTGTATCAGTCCTTTATTTTGATGTTAGTCATGTTATTTTTCTAACTTCCTACTTGAAAATACATGGATCCTTTTCATTTTCCACTGTTTTAAAATCAATTGTTTTATTTCTTAGTATGCCTTTTAATTCTTAATTATATCCTGGACATTATAGATGAAGAATTACATAGTGCACACATGAAGTTGTTGTCTCACAGGGAAACTTCGCTTTTAGTAGGCAACAAGAATTTCAGAACCGTGATTTAATCAAGGATTAGTTGTATGGTTTAACAGAAATAACTTAGTAGATGGTATATTACTTGCCCTTTCTGTTGAGGTACAGTCCTTATTCTGAATATAAGCCCCTTACTCCTAAAACATTACCTTTCTGAGTTTTCAACTAAAAGCCTGGGTATTTATCAAGATATTTTTACCAGGGGGAACCTTCAACTCTCAATTTTACCTTCCAACCAGTATACAGGTGATGAAATGTCTGACCAATTTTTTACATCCTAGATTCTCTTTTAACTGGTTTCCAATTTTTCCACATTGTACATAGATAGCATAGAATCAGGCAGCACCTTAGAACTTATGTATATTTTAGGAGAACTCGTTTATTTCTTCTTCTTTCAGATTTACCCCTTTGGTTCAAGCCAGTTACACAGGCTCAAACTTCGGACTCTTTCTTTTTCTTTTCAGCCTTGTTGGTTGGTCACTTTTTGGTTGGGTTATTTTTCTCTGCATGATAGATTAGAAATGCTTTTATGGAAAAGCTTTGTCGAGCGTGGAGCCTAACTCACTAATGGAAAAAAGCCACAGTGAATGTGAATGTGGAATTTGCCTATGTGCCTTATTGCTTTCAGATATCATAGTACTATGCATTGTTTGTTTTCCAATCAATTTATTTTAGGTATTTTATACTTGTTTTTCACAGGAAATGAGCATTTGGTCATGGCTGAACCAAGCCTTTTTGAAAATTTTATAGTTGGTTTTGTGTAAGCTTCAGGAGCCAGGAAATGAATATAACTAATTCCTATAGATAAATCTCTGTAGCAGAAGGCCTAGCACATGATGTGCATTCAATAAATACTTGTAGGATAAATAATTGTGTGTTTAAATGTATGGAACAACTGTGTAAAGGAAAATATGTTTGTGAAATTTATAGATGCTAGAAGTTAATATGCTGGAACAATGAGGTGAGCAAACAGTGACAAACACAAACTCTCACCTTTCTGCTCAAGACATTAATGATGTATTTTCTTCAAATAGAATCTGACATGGTCTATAGTTTATGAGAAGGAAAAGTGCTTTTTTGGCCATTTTGTTTCAGAGCAATTAAGTAATATCTTTCACTACCAAATAGGTAAGGTTAATGCACACTGAATTATTAGGGGTAGTATAAAAAGATAATGAAGCGTGATAAGTAATTTAAGGTATCTGGTGGAGGATTTAGCATGTAGAAAAATGCTACATAAATGTCAACTTATTATATTAGTTTTGATTTCTCCACAGGTTAGTGTACATTTGGGTGTTATTTTAAAAGGTTATTTCAAACATATATTAAGAAAGGGTAGGCTGGTATAAGTGAAGGATCTGGAAATTTTTATTTAAAGCAACTATGGATATTTAGTCTGATAAAAATTAGAAGACCTTTAAGGAACATGAAAACTGCTTTCGTAGATCTGAAAATTTTATTTGGAAGATAAATTACATTTACTCTGAGGATCTCTAAAGGTAGAACTAAAAAGTTTGTTATAAGTTAATGTAAAGTTATTTTTGTTTAATATATGAATTTTCTTATAATTTTGTAGATGTAAGTTTGTATAGGGTATTCAATATATATATATATATATATATATATAGTGGGACTGAAAATACAGTGAATTTTTAAATTCTAAAAATTTTATTACAGGAAAAGTATATTACCAATATCTCCATCAAAATACTCTCCTTTGCTTCAAACATACTTATCCCATTATTCTTGCTACTTTCTGAAACAGTAATGGAAATTCTTTCTTGTAAATATCTTTTGTTGCATTTTCCTGGCTGCTCTGATGTCATGAATCAACTCAAAGCATAATCCTTTCCATGGTCATTTTGATTTGGGGGAACGATTAGAAGTTGTACAGTACCAGATCAAGTGAATAAGGTGGACAAGGACACGATATGTTTTTATGAGTTTGTCTTCTAGTTGGATAGTTCTCAGTAGTAACATTCATTTTATCTTTAAGCATACCTTGTAAAGACATGAAAGAACCTTGGGTCAAATGTGTTCAAAGAGGGGGAGTATTTTGAGAGGGAGTACTGGCATTATATCCTTTACTGTAAAAGTGTTTAAAAATGTAAACATTCACTATATATTTTGGTCATCATATAAACATATATACATATATACACATATATACGTGAATGCATATATATATTTTGGTACCAAGGATCAAACTCAGGACCTTGAGCTTGCAAGGTAGGCATGGTGCCACTGAGCTACATCCCTGGCCCACCCCTTATATATTAATGCAAATGCATTAGTCTAGGAATTTATATGTATAGAGATAGGGATGGTTATCAGTGAGAAGTATTTAATCAAGAGTTGAAAAGAAGGACATGGTTTTGTCATAGGAGGTGACTGTTCTGTTCCACAAAGGATTGGATTTCTTGGAGTAGATGAAAGTGAAAGTTTAACTGAAGAGAAAGAGATCATCATGTCAAAATGTCCAAATACCAAAGGTAATAATTCATTATATTATTTACTCCTTTGTAACTTTGGATAGATAAATTAAACATAGAACTTTCTAGTTGTAGAAGCCAGAATAAGAGGGAAGGTAATAAATCAAACTGTACATTAAATAGGACTCAGAAGCCTCAAACTTCTGGTCTTGGCTTTGTCCCTAATTGTTTAGCCAAAGGACTTTCATATTTTCAGCCTTAGTTTGTTAATCTGAATAGTTAGCCTGCTGGCCTACATTATTTCTAGAGCTATCACTCACTTTAAAGTTATTGGTTCTCTTAGATGGTAATACCAAATCGTTTTCAGTTTTCTTTTTCCAATTTAGAACCACTAAATTTCTTTAGAAAACATTGATGGGAACACTATGAAGATTATTAATCTTGTGATGACTTCATCATTTTATGATCTTGCTACTGATAGTCTGTGAATAACCAAAACATATGATAAGATATTTCCTCTATAGTTTTATGCTGTCCTTCTTAGCTAGTATCTCTCTGTTGGTCACCTGTCTCAATCCCAGACTAAAAGTACAAATGTCTCTCCAAGAAAATGTAAAATCATTTCATTTTCTGTTTTTTCTCACCATAAAATATCCTCAAGGATAGGAAAAGGCATTTGTGATCAAATTGAAGTTTTTTCATTGAAAATTATACGTAAACCTCTTTCTGTCCATTTCTCACTCAGAGATGCAAAAGCTCTGCCCAATCCATCAAAGGATCTCATTTAAAAAAACTATGCTAATACTGCACCCACTGGTTCTGTATGACAGTTTTTAGTTAATTAAAATAAAAAATTCCATTTTTCACTTGCACTAAACCACATGCTTAATAGCGACATGTAGCTAGTGGCTATCATATTGGATTGCACGGATTTAGAACATTTTCACTGTTGTGAAAAGCTTATTGAATCATCCTACTCCAAAGCTGACAGCAAGTGAAAGCTGTTACATTTAAAGTATTTTTGGAAATTCAATTTAAATGAGCCCTCTTGATGTAAAATTAACTTAATTATTTTGCATGATGATATTAAAATATTGATATAATGATGTCATTTATCTATTGAAGATAATGGCTGCTCATTGCATTTATCAGTGATTTATGAAGCACAGCATGACATATAGGAAATTTTAACGATGCTTTCTAAAACTAATATGCATATATATTGAAGAGATGTAACCAATTGTGTAATGTTCGAAAAGTAAAAGTCCAACTGAAATGCTTCTTCACTAATATTGACATTTTATTCTCTTAATTTGCTTTAAAAGATAACAAGGACAGTCCTCATCCAAAGTGTTCCTTAACTACCCGACTAGTACCCACCATGCATGTATTAAATGCTACTGAGAATATCAATATGAATTCCAGAGAGGATACCTCTTCAAGTAAGACATTAGCACTATCACTTTTAGGTCTTAAATATATTCATCCTGTCATGGATACGTTTTGTTTATTTAAAATATAATTTTTAAAAAGAAATAAAAAACCGACGGTTTGAAAATTATCCAGGACTAAGAATTAAAGACACGGTACTCTTCTAACTCTGACAATGAATTGTGCTGTAGGTCCTAATGAATTATATCCACTAATTTAATTTTGATATTAAAACTAATAATACACTACCTTCTTGGAAGATTCACTAGTATAATATTTTAAATTTCATTCATAGTGGAATATATTTGTGGCTTTTTACAATGATATTTAGGATTATTTTTATTGATTTGGATTTTTGACCTTTAGTACTTTGACTTATTTATTATATCTTAATGCAGTTAAGACTCTTGAATCTTCTGGATTCCTTCATAGCTCAGCTCCTTTCTAGTTCTTATTTCATTTATTGAACTACAATATTCTTGGTTTTCAGCTAGGTATTGAAGTGGAACCAGAATGGTTTTCACCCCAGAAACTTGGGTTAGTGTGCATGTTAAAAAATTGTTTTCCAATCCTTGGGAGCTTGGGTGGGGAGATGGAATTTGTTATTTAACCAAGGAGGCAGTGAATCAGAGCTTCATTGAGGGCTTAAACCTTAAACTGAGGTTGAGAGCTAAGGCTAAGACAGATTTATTAGTCCAACATGGAGAGCTGGTCAGTCTGCATCGTGCACTTGATTTTCATTTTCTTTGTGCAGTAGTTACTTGTGAATGGCCCTTAGGCTATGTTGTTTGAGAATCTCTGGGAAAATGTACCTTAGGAATTCTTGGAAAATTAAGAATGAATATAGAAATTTTGATGTAAAATATGTAAGTAAAAACTAAAAAAAATGCATTTATGTTAGCACTCACAAATTCTGATTTTTCAGTTTGTTTGTCCAAACTAAATTATATATCTAACTTATTAAGACCATAAGAAGATAACTAAAATTCATTCAAAGTATTTTAGTGAATTAACTCAATTTATCAAGAGTTAGGTTTGGCTAAAAGAAAAGTGCAAAACAATTTATATTGAAAATAGTTATTATAAAATTACCTTAAAATATGTTATAATGATATCTAATTATATTTGGAATGCAATTTTTATGTTCTTTTAATAGAATCCACAGAATCTTTTGGTGCAAAGCATTTTTTTTTTAAGAAAAGCAACTTACTGGAAGTTTTCTTATTGATATGTTTTCAGGGTAGATTATTTTGGCACTTAAAAATGAATCATTCTTTGTTCTAAAATGTATTAGAGTGGTACATTTATTTTTTCTCTTGCTTAACATGTAAATGCACAGATATGTAATTATCACCTACAGTAATTTTTAGATGAAAGCACCTCTTAAAACCTGTAAAAATTTGTATCTCCTCTAAGTGAATGATGTCCACCCTGTGAAGAAGCCTCATTTTAAAGGTGAGAAAAAAAGAAAATGCATTTATGATGAGCCAAAGAACTTTCCTGGCTCTGGAATGCCAAGAGGTAAATATTTGCTATTTCTCATTTCTAATTTGAAGAGATTAAATATCATATATTTCCTTTTTTTCTTTTTTTTTGTTTTTGATCTTTTGAGTCAAGGTCTCACTATGTAGCCCAGGCTGGCCTTGACCTTTCGGTAGTCCTCCTGCCTCAGCCTCCTGAGTGCTGGGATTACAGGTGTGCACCACCATGCCTGGCTCAAATATCATATATTTTCTACTTGAAAAATAAACCACTGTCATGTAACATAAAGATTACTTTCAATGTACACCCATTCCTCTGAGTCTTATTTACTTCTTTTACCTTACATTGTACTCCATTGTGCTATCATATCTTTATTGTACAAGGCATTAGCTATCCGTGTGAAACAGCTTGTTCTCTCTCTCCCCACCCTTTGTTTTATAGCAGTACAAGACCCAAATCCAAAAAATAAAATGAATTACCATTATCATAATAAAAACAGGAATGCTGAAAATGCATCCCACATCCACTTTCGAAGAGACGCAGTCAGGACTGTCACGTTGAGTGACCCTCCCTGCAACAGGCCCACAAATGGATCCTACAATAAAGCTGATGTTAACAAGGAACCCAAAATCAATGTCTGTCCAGGTGAGGCTCTTTTTTTTTTCTTCTTTTATTGGTACATTTTAGGCATACAATTCATTTACATTTATCATTGGGTGTTTGTACCTGTACATGATATATCTTGGTTCTTATATTTTTTTCCCATTACCTGTGCACCCTTCACCCCCTCCACCCTTCCCTATTTACATAATTTCATTTCCATTTTTTTTCTTTTCTCATAGTTTTTCCTTTCCCTCTTTTCCTTTCCCCTTCCCCTCCCTTCACTCCTTCATCTTTGGACCTTTTTTCCTATTTCAAATTATCAATTATTCATTTTAATCATTTTAACCCTTGTTTACACTATCAGTTTCTCACACTAATGAAACTATTCAGTATTTACACATGTGTGTCCTATTTATTTCACTTAAGAGTATGGCCTCAATATGCATCCATTTAGCTATAAATGACTCTAGTTTTTCATTCTTTATGGCTGAGTAGTGCTCCATTTTATAAAAACCCCCCACATTTTCTTTATCCAGTTTCCAGTTGATGGGCACTTGGGCTGCTTCCAAGCTTTAGCTATTACAAACTGTGCTGCTATGCACATATATCACTGTGGTATGATTCTTTTAATTCTTTTGGGAAGATACTCAGCAATGGAATAGCTGAGTCAAATGGGACCTCTAGTCCTAGTTCTTTGAGGTATCTCCATACTGACTTCCACAGTGGTTGCACCAGTCTGCACTCCCACCAACAATGGAGAAGGGCTCCTTTCTCCCCACAACCCCGCCAGCATTTATTATTGGTTGATTTCTTGATAGCAGCCATTCTTTGTGGAGTGAGGTGGAATCTCAGTGTTGTTTTCATCTGCATCTCTCGAATGACGAGTGATGTTGAACATTTTTTCATATATTTGTTTGCTGCTTTTACTTCCTTGTCTGAGAAATGTCCGATGGTTTCACTGCTGAATTTTACAAGACATTTAAAGAAGAACTAACGCCATTACTCTTTAAACCCATTAAGGAAATTGAAAGGGAAACAATACTTCCAAATTCATTCCTGGAAGCAAGTGTTACTTTGATTCCAAAACCAGGGAAAGACCCAACTCAAAAAGAGAACTGCAGGCCAATCTCCCTAATGAACATAGATGCAAAAATCCTCAACAAGATACTGGCAAACAGAATGCAGAGGGTCATCAAGAAAATCATACACCCTGACCAAGTCGGATTTATCCCAGGGATGCAAGGATGGTTCAACATTCATAAATCAATAAATGTAATACACCATATTAACAGAGTCAAGGACAAAAACCATATGACCATCTCAATAGATGCAGAAAAAGCATTCAACAAAATCCAGCACCCATTCATGATAAAAACCCTACAGGTGAGGCTTTTCACTGATGAGGTTCACTCTGGCCTGTGCTGAGCATGCATGAAATTTCCGGATGGATCAGCTACTCTTCACTGCTGCCCTCTCCCTTCTTTCTTCCTCTGAGCCATCACCAAGCCCCATAACTTCTTATCAACTAGTGGCAGGATTTCTTACCTGTGCAGTCATACACACGATCTAAAAGCACACGGAAGGAAACTCGAGTCGTGGGCAGATGACTTGACATCCCTTCGTCCCTGGAGTCCTGTCCGAGAGAGCCTTGTGCTCTGTTCTCCCCGGATAGCTTTATTTGGCCAGGGAGGATTGTTTTTAAATGGCTGACATTTCCGGTTCCACTAACTGTGTTGTTCAATTATCACTGTCAAGCTAGTACCTTGATCCCCCCTTTCTTTAGGCCTTGATGATTACTTTCTGAAAGGGTTAGTTTGGGGTTTAACTGCAATATTTTCGACAACCTCTCATCTCTCTCACCATGCACAAATTGCTTCTAAATCATTTCATCATGTAACAGGCGAAATCATAGTGTATGTCAGGAGGGATGAGGCCCTAGGGAAGAAGGAAACCAGTTCTCTTTTATTCCTATCTCAGATGATTTTGCTCTCCTAAAGATGGATTTCCTTTCTCTCAACTTAACAAAGTGCCATTGCCTTCTCTATAATTTCACATTTGTAGCTTTTCATGTTCACAATGTAGTTCATAGCTATATCTTTCTTAGATTCTTTCTTTAACAACTTACATGGAACCTATATTTATTTAAATTATTTTTCTATTTATTTTAGAATGAAATGATATAGTGTATCTCTCTCTCTCTCTCTCTCTCTCTCTCTCTCTGGATATTCTTAGGTGAAACTAGCTTTTAGTACTAGTTTTACTATTACTATTATTATGTATGTTATTATTACTATCTCACAAAAGTAGATGGGCGTGAAGAACACACTGAGTACTGGAACAGTTTGTTGCTAGTGTCCAGATTTGTGTGAACGTGCCAGCAATGAATATCTATTTTACTTTTGTATCATCAGGGCAGATGTCAACACATTCTCTGTATTGTTATGCTTTGAGATGCACAGTTATATCATAATACTTGAAAATACAAACTGTTACATAATAGTTAAAATAGAGAAATGTTAGAGAAAGTATGTTTTTAAGGTCTGGGTCAGCATATAAATGCTTTGGCTTCCAGGGGCAGGAAGTTCATTATTACAGAGTGATCACTGTGATCAAGATGTCATTTCATAGAAGGAAACTGGGCTGTTATCTCATGTTGCTCTATTTTGAAAATCTCTCCAAACATTAGTAAAATTCTATGTTAAATTATGGTAGAACAGTGGCATGAAATATTTTTATTTCATGCAGCTATCATTCTGTTCTCTAGCTTAGCCTCATGAGAGATAGAGCCTTATTTGAGGAATTAAGAGATCTGTAATCATGCTCACTGATAACTTAAATGGTCTTAACAAACTCACTTGTATTCCCGATGCTTTAGCTTTAGCTAAATTAAATATTTAGAGAATAGATTCTTCACTGAGGTGTTTACAACTTTGCAAACTTTTGGAGTATGATTTGAAAGTTTTCAAATATTTAAAAGCAGTCTTCTTTTTTTTTTCTCAGACAAATACATGTCAACAACATCATATAATGGTTCAGCCTGGAGAAAAAGAATTCCTTTTTCCAAAACTTATTCAAAAACTTAAAAGATATATCCAGGTAAATATTTACTAGTGATTTTAAAGTATCAGGCAATTCTAAAAATGAGTACTTTTTGAAGTTCAAGGTACATATTTTAGAAAACATTAAAATATATATTTAATCATTTGGAGTTTAGCAGTTATCTAATCTACTAGCAAATTTACTTTGTTTTATTTTTTCTCTTCCTATGTTTATGGATTACCAGAAAACTTGTTGATACAATTCTTTCCTTGTTAATAGGCATAATAATTGCATCAACTACATATGCTAACATGAGATTTTTGCTATACTACAAGGCAAATGCATAAAACTATTTGGCATAAATAAAATATTAAAATCTTACAATATTTATTAAACAATCATGGGTTGGTACAGGCTGACAGGGCAGCCAAGATGAATTTTCCTGGTCAGGGGTTGCCACATGACTATGCTGTCCCCATCTTTGTACTTTGTGCCCCTGGGAGGGGATAAGATCCTGCAACCTTTTCAGAGTAGAGGTTTCTGGCGGTCTTGATTTCAGCTTGTTCCTTTGCTGAAACAGCTTTGATGTCTTCTCCCACCCTGTTTTGGGCTGGCTCAGTAGGTTTAGAAAATTACACAAGACGAAACTATTTCAGTTATTTCTCCCACAAATGACTTTCTTGGAAAAAGTTACATGTATAGTGTTCTTATCTAGATAAGTATCCTAGAACCTTCAAAACTGTCTGAAATCTACAAGCTCTTATACCAGAACTTCCCAGAAGGAACCAGGACACACCAGGACTAGTCTTCCAGACTCTGATTTCCCTTCTCCAAAATAGCTAGCCTCACACTTCCTAAAACCATTTTTGATTGCAGCTGTGAATTGGTCTCCAGACCCATGTGCATATTAATATGCTTGGACACAGCTGGTTTTCTTTTTTCCTCATCACTTCCTGAATCATATTTTACTATTATTAGTCATTTTTCCATTGCTAGACAAAATACCTGACACCCATAAGTTAAAGGAGGAGAGGCTTTTTTGGCTCATGGTTTCAGAGGATTCAGTTCATGTTTGGCTGGCTCCAAGGCAGGAATAATACGGTGGAAGGGTGTAGTGGAACAAAGATAGTTCATGGTGCCTGGGAAGCAGAACAGAGGAAGAGCACCAGGGACCCAAGATCCGGCCTCAATGACTCACCCAGATACACTCAGAAGTGTGCTTCACTAATACTTTAGGTGGGTCCCAAATCATTTAGGTAACATACTTCAAGAGAACTCTGTTGCTATTCAATTGACTACCTTTTCAAACTTTGTATGGCTTTTTCCATGTGACTGCACTTAATTTAGGGAGGGAGAAAAAGGTGAAAAGTTGCTGAAAATCCTAGATGAAACTAGAATTTGTTGAGCTATGGCCTTTTCTCCTATCGTTTCCTTATGAGAAGGTGGATACCTGGGAGTATTGAAGGATATGCTTCTTCTCTATTTCTGTTTCCGTGATGGCTCTTCTATGTGAGTAGCCTACTCACCTTCCATCCCAGATAATTAAAAATGAATCATAGAAGCATTTGGGGAAGGAAGGAAGCATCACTTCAGAACATGAAACATGTACTACTTATGTGTCCAACAGGATCTCTGCATCCATGTGGGGTTATATTACATTTCCCAGTGCCATCTAGGGAGAAAAGTTTTGGAGAGAATTTCTGAGTGACATCTGGGCCAGGAGGAAGGCATATCTGATACACGAGGACCAAAGACAGCTTTTTGAGATTTCCAAGGGCCAAGGTTGCATGGTGGGAGACATCATGCATTCTTGTGAATCTTAAGCAGGAGGGAGTTCCTAGGAGAGAGGACCAGCGAATCTATATAAGGTCTTCTGGATGAGACAGAAGAGATATGCATCAGAAAGTTCTTGTTTTTGAACCTTATTGGTGTGTGTGTGTGTGTGTGTGTGTGTGTTTCTTAGCTATAATCTCAAGAGATTACTTCTGCCAGAGAAATAGGCAGCAATGAAGCCAGAATCCACTGGTCACTCCTTTGTTAATATTTAAGGGTCAGCTGTGAAGACATCATCTAGGAGCTTGTTAGAAATGTAGACTCTCTGTCAGACCAGCTATATGAGAATCTCCTTCTTATCAACATCCCCAGGTGAATAGGATGCACATTAAAGATTGAGGAACTTTATACTAAATTATCTGAACTACTGTTCAAAACCCAGACATGCGAAACCTGTTGAAATCAAATCCTTTTCCTATCTGTCACACAGTGGCAACCATTTCCTCCATACTAATTCCAGTAGGGAGAATACTCAGAAAAAACTTTAGATATGACTCAAATATGAAAAGGAAATAGCTAAGAAATCACTGGATTGGATGGAATTTATGTACAAAGGACTAGAATCATTTTCTATATCAGGAGTAATGTGGATTTATATTCAAGAAATTAAATAAATGCTATAAAATTTTTATAAAATTTATAGATAATATTTCATGATATTTGTTTTATTTGTTTTTGATTGGGAAACAAGTAGCTCTCAAACTCACCCCTTCCAGTTGTTGTCATCCTGGAAAATGAAGAGAAAGATTAGTTTGTGTTTCTTCCCTCACACTGTCGCTAGGGCACTGAGCAGCAACGTTAGCATTTGCCAATGGACAGATGGAATGCTAGAAAAAGAGGGAGAAAAGACAAGCTGCCACTCTGTTCTTCTAGGGTTCTGGCAGCCAGGGCCATGGATGTATAAGTGGGCGAGAGAATCCTTTTGCGAAAACGTTTTTGGATGCTATGAGGATAAAGCAAAAGGAGAGGAAAGTGTTCAGGTTCTGTGTGGACCAGGCACAGAAACTAAAGATGACTTGAGGAATTGTTCTCATTGCCATGTTTTCTTGAGGCTACAGAGAGAGGAGAGAGGAGAGAGGGGAGGGGAGAGGGGAGAGGGGAGAAGGAGGGGTGGAAGAGAGATTGGGGGGAGAGGTGTCTGTCTCCACGTGATGGCTCTCCTATAATACAGACTCATATATAGATTATTTCCATTCCTTTCCACCTCTCCATTGGAATGCAGTAAGAAATAGATGAAATTTGAATGGCAATTTGAAATTTTAGGAATAAAACCAATAAACATAGCCATTGTTTTAGCTCAGATTTATGATAAGTAATTAGCAAAATAAATATAAACTATTGGTGGCCCCAAAAAGGCTGTAAAGGAAAATGAAATATTTTGTGCATTTTATTATTAGAGCCAAGAAGAAATGGGAGCAAGTAAACTTGGAGGTTGAGAGAAGAGAAAAATGAGAAGAGAGAAAAATGCCAGCCATCATTTGATTTACAATCAAAAATGAAAACTCAAAGAATGAAATATTCAAGTACCCGATATGGTAGACTAGATTCCAGAGATGATAAAATGCAAATTCTGAAAATAAAATGCAGGAGGTACACTGCGCTCTTTCAAAACTGATAAAAATGCAAATTACAAACAGCTGCTTGTATTTATATAGGTCTGGCATTCATTCGATGCATTACCACAAACATTTAATAAAATTTAAAAGTTTGACAATTAAAATCATTCTTTAATCATAAACCAGGTAGATTACACAGATTGAAAAGTAAAATTATGCTTTTGATTTCTGTTTTGCAATATTCATTATGGAAGAAACATATTTTCTTTCTTTACCTGGATTTTAAGGCGGGCCCTCAGGAATGATAAACATAAAGTATAAACAAATTCAGTGAAGTCCCAGGGTTACAGTTTAGTGATGAGTACATTAGAGGAATTTCAATAGAATTATCCTTTGATGTGTGGTATAGAGAGATAGAGTTAAGTTTCTTATTCAGGGCAGTTGCTGAACAATATCTTTTAATTGTCAACTACAAAAATCTATCTGCTGAGATATGCTACATTCAAAATTGAAAAATAACATTTTTCTGTCATAAAAACAAAAATTATATGATCACAATGCAGAAAATAACATTTTTTTTTGTAAAATAGTGAATTAATAACATCATGTCCTGAAAGTCTTAGGGAAGCTTTAAGGCTTCAGTAACTCAGAAATGTACTATAAAGTGCAAGAGAGAACTCATTTTAAAGCTTATTTTTATATCTTTTGCCCTTGTTTAGGTCACACATTTAAAATAATAAATTTTTATTTAGTTTTTAAAATTTCAGTCAAAATTAATCATCTGCAGAATGACTGAAACAGAAACTTATTTATCCCTCAAACTGAAATCAATATGAAGATTGCTTTCAAGTGATAATTTTCTAGTTTTGTAGCATTTATACTTCTGGGTTTATTAAATCTTATAACTTCACTATGATTTTGGAATATCCTCTATTTGTATTTGCATGGAACATTGTGGTTAGGTAGTATTATGTCAGTATTTCTGGGGGATGAGTGTTCTTTGAAATATTTTATTTTAAAATATATTTTATAAGAAGTAATTCCAATTGGTGAGGTAATGAACCCACTGTTTGAGTTTTTGTTTTCTGTGCTGGGGATTGAACCCAGGGGTGCTTTGTCACTGAACTACATCCCTACCCCTTTAAAAAATTTTTAACTTATTTTGAGGTAGGGTCTCACTAAGTTGTCCTGATGGGACTGGAACTTGTGATCCTCTGCCTCAGCCCCCATCAGTGCTGGGATTACAGGTACTTGCCACTGTGCCTGGCATGCCTGGCTTTTAACAGTGTTCCGTGTCCTCACTTGCAATAACATCAAGATGTAGTCATTTTCTTTTTACAATCAAAGTGGATAGAAGTGGAAACTGTGCCAGCAAAAATCTCGGGGAGATAAATTTGGGAGGGATGTAAGAAAACAGTTGAGGCAAAAAGCTGCCTAGATGGAAGCTGATAGGAGAAATCATATAATTCCATTTAACAACAGATTTATGTGCTTCTAAAATTTTAACTAGTGAAGAGGGAAGGTTCTATGAAGGCAATTAAAAATATTTTACTTGAAGTACAAGTTCATAGCATGTGTCTTTATTGCATGCTCAAAGCTAAAGAATCATGCGGAATGAGAAAAATTTGAAGAAAAGCCTGCATGATTTTACACATGTTCCTGAATAAATGGAAATTTTTTATTATAATAAATTTTATCCAAAGGACCAAGTAGACAATGGCATTAACCAAACCTGTTCTTATATTTGTGATCAGAGAAAAGACAATACGCTTAAATGGGGCTAACTTATTACAAAAGGAGGAAGACAGTAAATGCTAAAATAAGCAAAGATTGGGCCGGGGATTTAGCTAAGTGGTTTTGCTGCCTTCTGCGCAAGCGCAAGGACCCGAGTTCAATCCCCAGTACCAATAAAATAAAATAAGCAAAGATAGGAGATAACAAAATAAGCTGACAACCAAAAATTAATAAGCCAGCAACAGCCTGTGTTTGCTGACTCATGAGCATAGAAATAGAGCCTCTGAACTTAATTTTCATCATGCTAGTGGTCAGTAGTTTCTTTTCTAGCACATCTAAAAGATGCTGATTAATTGTAGGGTATTCTCATTGTGCTCTTTTCAAAGACAGCAGTGATAAAATGATGATAAAAATAGCATTTATTAGATGCTTAGTATATTATTTGTTTATCAAAGCTGCTGTAACAAAGTGCCCCGTAGTGAGGTTCTTCATTTTATTGTATCATAGTGCTAGAGGCTAGAAGTATGAAGTCAGGATGTCAGCAGAGCTTTTTCCTTTTGAGGAATGTGAGGGGGCTGTTCTAGGCCTCTTTTCATGGTTTGTAGATGTCCATCTGCTCCTTCTGTCTCCATATCTCACCTTTCTTGTATGTGTGTCTCTGTGTTCAATTTCCCCTTTTATAAAAAGAGAAGTCTTATTGGACTACAGATCATCCTAATGATCTCATTTTAACTTGATTACCTCTATAAAGACACTGTGTCCTGGTAAGATCACATTCTGAAGTACTAGGGATGAGGACTGTAACATAGGAATTTTGAGAAGGACATGTAAGGATGTTTTCTAGACAATTCTAGGCTAAGTGAGTAAGTCTTAAAAGACAAATTGACTCTAACATTCAGCTCCTTCTAAGACTTTAAATCCCTTTCCAAGAAGTGAAAGCAGGGCTGGCATTTCTGGCTTATATACAATGGGCCACATTTTGGCCCATCTTTAAGCCAAAAACAAAAAATCTGTTAGATTCCTTTAACTGCCAAGTGCATATTAAACGCAGAATCTTTGCTTAATGAGCTCATGTCAACAATTTTGGCCTAATCCAAGTCCATGTTACTTCCACTACTAATCCATACCTTAATGTGCATCCCCAAATATATTCCCTGATTATTAGTCTATGTAAGTTGGAAAACTCACATAGGGTTCTTTTGGAGTGTAGTTTTCCCTCTCATGGGTCATATTTGGTAGCTCATCTTAGGGGACAGAATCTAGTTATAGGTCTCTTAGCAAAGAGAGGGTGTGGGTGTATTAGGTAGCTCTCTCATTACTGAGACAAAATACTTGACAGCCACCATTTAAAGGAGGAGAGGCTTAATTAGGCTCAAAATTTGGGGGGTTTCAATCCAAGATTCTCTGGTTCCATGGTAAAAATGGAATGGTGGAAGAGCATGACAGAGAAAAACTGCTCCATCTCTTGGCAGTCGGGAGCAGAGAGAGAAGGGAGGTGCTGCAGAGGGAGGTATACCCACAACAGGCACAATCCCACTGACACACCTCTTCCAACATCCTACCTCCCAATAGTAAATTTAGCTATGAACTCATCAATGCATGAATACACTGATGAATATAGGACTCCTTATAATCCAATCACCTTCTAACAACCCCACTTCTGAATACATGAGACTGTGGGGGCAGGCATTCATATCTAAACCATAACATCTCACTTGTTACCCCCAAATGACTCACGTCCACCTCATTATGTAAAATGTGTTTATTCCATCTCTAAGAGTCATCCAAGTCTTAATGGTTTCAGCAGGGCTGAAAAGTTCAAATCCAAACCCTTCTCTGAACTCTTAGCTGTGAGGTGCACAAAAAGACAGAGTAAAAATTCTCATTTTGAAACAGAGGAATAGAGGGATAGAAAGAATCAGTCCAAAACAAGACCAAAACCCATCATGGTAAACCTTAAATCTTGTATCTCCAGGTCCAGCACCTAGGACAGATGGCCAGATGTGAACTCTAAAGGGCTTGGGCAGCTCTAACTCTATGGGCCTTGCTGGTTGCACACCATATGGCCTCTCTCTTAGGCTGGCTCTGCTTACTGCCTGCCACATTCTCCAGCAGATATTTTATGTTCCTGGTGTATCCATTTCACTTTCAGATTCATCCCCATAGCTTCACACATTTCCCTCTCTGGGGGTCCATGCTTGGTTTCCCAGGAATTCCTTTGAAATCTAAATGGAAGCCCCTCCCGCCCCCCATCTCACAACTCTTGCATTCTGTATATTGGTAAAACCAATTTCACATGGGTGATTCCAAGGTTGGCTACTAGTTTGAGCAATAGTGAAATGAATCCCAGTGAACCAATTCCTTAGGATGACTTTCTTGAGCAGGCATCCCACTAAAATGAAAAGTATAATATGTTGCACCTTTAAGCCTGGGATAGTTGGGGCTTTGCTGATTTCTGATATGCTCCCAAGGATTTTTCTTCTTATCCCTGAACAAAGTAATTGTCTCCTTTATAATGACATTAATCTCTTCAGCAACCAGCACCCACAGCTCTTTTGGCCCCAAATAGTTCCTTCTGGGCCAAAATTAAAGTTTTTCAAGTCTTTATGCTCTATCTTTTGTCCCTGATTTTTAAATTCAACTAAAAGCAGTATCCATGCCACTGCCTGAATTTTGGGCTCTTTTAAATAGATTAATCAGTCCATGGTCTTTAATTTCAGTACCCTGCAGTCTGGCCAAAATGAAGACAAATGTTCTGAAAAAGTGTAACACACACGGTCTGTACTCTGCCAATGGAGTCCTTGTTTCAATTAAAATATCCTGAGCTGGGCCTTTACTGTTTGCATTCTTATTAGCATTCTGGTATTCTGAGCTCCAACCAAAATCACCCATCAAGTTGTGTTTACAGCATTCTAAGGCTTTTCTAGCACATATCTTCAAAGCTTTCCAAACTTCTCACAAATCTGTTCCAAAGACTTCTAAACCACATGTTTAGGTACAGTCACAGCAATGGTTTTAATTTGGCTTCTAGTTTTGGGGTTCCAGTCCATGGTCAGATGGTTTCAAGGCAGAAATGCAACGATGGAAAGGCATGGAGGAGGAAAGCTAACTTACTTTACATGGCCGAGAAGCAATTAGAGTTGGGAGGAGTTGGAGATATATATATCTCAAAGGTACACCCTCAGTAATATACCTCTTCCAACCAGGTCCTATGAACTCCTTGATGGTTCAATTCACTGACAAGTATTTATGTATTTCACCCCTATGATTCAATGATTTTTTTTAAAGCCCCATCATTGAACACATGAGACTATGAGACTTCTGGGGGACATTCTAGATTTAACCATAACAGTGGGATGAGTCTTGAAGGGGAATCAGTGACTCTCTAAGTTAATTTTGCATAGGGGTGAAG